CCCAGCCCCAGCCCCAGCCCCTGCCCCAGACCCAGACCCAGTCTCTGCCCGCCCCTCTGGTGCTCATCCCCACACAGCACTGCCACATCTTCCCTCAGGCCTCTCTGCCTGAGCCTGTCATTCTTCCAGGGAAGCACAGCCTTGCCCTCCACTTCCATCTGTACCCATCTCTCCCCCATTGAAAACAGCTGAAAGCTTTATAGGACAAATAAAGTCTCACTTAATCCTGAGCAAATAGGCAGGGGAGGAGCACAAGCAAGGGGGAAGGAGAGCAGCTGGGCCTTGCTTCCAAAATCAGGCTGCCGGGTCTCCGGAGCCCTGGCACTGGGTGTTCCTTCCACATCTGCAAGACTTTTCCCCCCAACAAACCACTCCCTATTCTGTCAGTCAGACCAAGCAAAAGAGCAACACATCTCCATCAAAGAGCAAGGCACCATGCCAGGATCTCCCCCGCCCCTTGCTGCCCCATGCTACAGTGAGAGCAGGGGTGCACTGCTCGCTGTCGGGGAGGCCAGCCCAGGTCCCCAGCACAAACGCTGGTGCACAGAGGGGGCTGCTATTGTGCAGATGTTGGCGCTCCCTCAGAATTGACCCGCTGGGATTTTACCTTCATGCAACACCACTGAGATGAACTTTTGAGGAACTTTTAAGTTTTAGGCTCTGCTCTGCTCTGCTTGGCCTTAGCGCCCTTATGAGATGGGAGGAGCGTGTTCGCCCTTCTGTCATGTGGGGCCACCTAGAAGGTGTCATCTGTGGGGAATGTCTCCTCACCAGACCCTGACTCCTCATCTCCTCGATCTCAGCCTTCGCAGCTTCCAAAACTGTAAGCAATGAATTTCAGTCATCTGTAGATAGGACACAAGGCTGGCTGTCCTGACAGGCCTCCCCCTTGTACCAAGTTGTGAACTGTAGGTACATGTGTATCCCTTCATGGTGGCAGAGGTGTGCAGAATTGGGAACAGTGGTCTGCCCCAGACTGCAGTTTAGAAAGTGCACCTCCCCCATCCCTGTCACCCACATGGTACAGTAGAAACAGGAGCAGAGAGCCTTTGGATGGTTTGCGGGCACAGATGCAAGTTCAAAATACGCTGAATCTCAGGACAGTGAAGGGTGCTCGCGGCACCTTCAGAAGCTAGGATCCGCACAGCCTCCCAGCACACCCCCACCTGGTTCTCCCTGATCACTCTGGCACCCCACATGGAGGGAAGCTTTCCACGGGAGACATAACAGGCTGGTGTAGGTTTGTGTGAAGCCTGTCCTCTCTATGCTTGGCTTTCCAGCTGAGAGGCAGAGGCCAAGGAGGGCCTTTGGGAAAGGTGGAGCCAGTGAGAGGAAGAGCACATGTCACCAAAGAGCAGACCAACCTTCCTTCTCCCCAACTTGGGCCTGGAGACGGCCTCCTTGGGCCACTGGGGACAGGGCCAGTACAGTAACTGCCTGTCCCGGCCTGCCTTCTGCCAGCCCCAATACACAAAACGGAGCAAACAGAGGCTCCCCATCTTCTGCGCCAGCTTCTCAGCCAAAGGAATGAAACGGCCACTTCTTTTTATTACTCAGGATTTCCTGAGAACCAGACTATTAGTCCCCTAATGTAAAGATAATAAGCTTGTCCCCTGCGGCAAATGGTGCAGCCCCAGCAGAAATGCACTCACAGCACTGTCAAGCAGCCTTCCTCGCTGAGGATGAGGGGACTGGGAGCAGGAGAACCAGGACAGGCATCTGGGGCAGGCCGGTACTTTCTCCACAACCTGTAGGAGCTGAGCCCAGGCTGGCCAGGGAGAGGCCATGTGTGTCCTCAAGGCCTCGCGCTCTGCCTCTCTTGGCCAGTGGGGCTGGGGTGGGCAGTGGTGAAGGACGTGAGCCCCAGGCAGAGGGAGGGTGTTCCCTGCTCCAGCAGAGGCAGGAAGCACTGCTCCCAAGCAGGCTCACAAAGGCAGAGGGTTTCCAGGCTGGCCCTGCTGCCACTGTAACGTACCACTTCCAACTGCGGTGGATATAATGATAAGGAGCCCATGAAACCGGTGGGAAGCCTGAGCATCCTACAGGTGAGGTGAGCCGCAGCGAGGGGGCAAACCAAGGCAGAGCCAACTCCAGGAGGGCAGGGGTCCCAAGCAGAGGCAGAATGTGCCCCAGAAGAGTGGCCCTGCTTGCTCCTGTCTAGGCTTTCTTTAGCTCTGCCCTCTACCTCTATCCCCCAAGGTAGGAGTTTCAGCAGCAAGAGCTCTTGGGGCCTCCAGCAGTGACATTCTGTCTGCATGGAGGGTGGAGGCTCCTTAGCCCTGGGTCAGGGCCACATGCTCACACCGAGTGGGACAAGGGCTTGGCTCTGCCCAGGTAATGCAAAGGACAGCCCTTCCAGACTGAGCCAGGACCCTGTGAGGCATCGGGGTAGCTAGTCACAGTGCTGCCACATTGCCACTACTCATCACACGCTTGTCCTCGTTCACATAGGCTGTGCACTCTGTGAGAGCCAGGGACTTGGCTAGAACCATTTGTCTTCTTCCCAGGGAGCTTGCACAGCCCTGGACAGATAATGGAAACCCAAAGCTTCCTAGCGATGGATCAGAATAGGACAGCGGGGCATGGCTCGGTCACACTGACACGCGAGCGGGCGATCTGCAGGTCTCTTGCTGCCTAAGGCTCTGCTTCCAGTTCCTTGAGCTCCAGGCCTTGGCCTGCATCAGGTGGCTTCCTCAGTTCCCACCTCTGCTAACCTATCCCTGAAGCTGTCGCAGCCTAAGCAGGCAGAGAGCAGGTACAGCCCCATGCAGAGAGCAAGGGAAGTTCCCCACAGTCCTGTCCTCTTGGCTTCTGGGGCCTTGGATTGCCACTGTCTGAGGATGAGGGTCTGAGTATGAGGGAAATGGACCTGCGCTGTGTTCAGAAGGAGAGAAGGACAGCCAGAGACCCTGGCCATGCTTGGATGGCTGCTCAATCCAGGAGGGGGAATGTCATCTTTGGCTATCTCTTTAGGGCTCCCTGGGCTATTAGAACCCTTCTGAAAGAGGGTGACAGGGAGGTAGAATCATTCTGCATTTCAGAAAAGAGACACAGGTGTCCAAATTCCACCCCCAAGACATCGAGGTTTCAAAAAAGAGGAATGGCTATATCTGCATCGGGAAGAAAAACTGAGAAAAGCCACTAGGAACTTAGAAGGAGGCCAGAGAATCTGAGCGAGTGAATGGGTGGCACTGGCCAATTTACTAGTCAGCTGTCTTCTCCTCCTTCCCCTTCCCTTCCTCCTCATCTTCGTCCTCCTCCCCCTCCTCCTCCTCCCTATTGCAGGAGCTCTGGGCCTCTCTTTCTACAGCCAGCTCCCTATGCTGCTGCTCCGCCAGAAGGTGGCGTGCCAGCTGCTCCAGGGCCTCCGGGCCCACCCTCTGCAGGCGTTCCTCGTGCTCCTGCCTCAGCAACCGCAGCACTGCCTTGGCATCCTGGGGCCTAAAGTGTTTGGCTAGGACCCTGTCCAGCTGGTGCCACAGGGGCTGGGTTTGGTCCTGAGACTGGAGGGCTTTGTCTGCTGCTGCTGTACCCAAAGGCCGCATGATGACATTGATGGAGGCATTGGGCCCAATGCAATAGTCCGAGAGGCACTTGTCATCATCCAGTGGCTGGCCACGGAACATCAGGTGCTGCTGCTCCTCGGGCACCTGCAGCTGCTCAGATACCAGCTTCTTCAGCGTAGCCACACTTTCTTGCTCTGACACCTTCAGGCTACATTTCCGTCCCAAGAGCAGCTTGACTGTGAGGAACATTGGGCCAGAGCAGAATTAGGAGGGATCCATGCTCTAGTGGCTGCCCTGAAGACTAAAGGGCCCCGTAGGAGAAGGTAGTCCCAGCACTGGGAGGCCAGTAGTGCCGGGAGGCCAAGAGCCCAGCCCGGTGAGCAACCACTGGCTAATGCAAGTGATGTCATAATGTTGCAGGAAGGCTCATTTCTAGAGTAGAACTTTAGGGACAGCTCTTAAAATTCCCAGGGAGAGGATGGTTCAGGGTGGAGATATGAAGACAAGAATCAGAATACAGAGAGCTGAGATCAAGAGGAGCCCTCTCTCCTGATGGGAGAAAAGGAACCGACCAACTACTGCAGAGGGGGTTGATGTCACTTTCAACCCCTTTGCCTAACATCTTGTTTGCCTGGCTTCCCTGTGTGCCTGGAGTTCTTGGAGCTGGAACAGCTTGTTTATGTGGCTTGTCTTGGGCACTCCATGTTCTTGGGATGGTCTTGCTTTAGTTCCACACGTGTGATTGGCTAGGGATACAGTTTGGAGAAGCTTTTTGAGTTGTTGAAAGCTGCTAGTTCTCTTGGGCTGCTCTGCTGGAGGATTTTGTCATGCTGGCTTTCCTGATGAACTTGGTTGTCACTGGAAGAGCTTGGGACCTTTGTTTTCATTGAGAATGGCTGTGGTTCATTTTGGGGGCACTCTGGTCCTTACCTTAAGCATTGCATCCTGGCTCCAGAGGGGCAGATGATGCACTGCTGTCTCCTGGAGAAGCTTGTCATGTTGGCTGTCCTGATGGGAACTCAGCTTCCTCATCACTATACAAGCTCAGGACCTCACTGTTGCTGAGAACGGCTGTAATAGTTTTGGGGGAGCTCTGGTGCTTACCTTGAGCATTGCTTCCTGTCTTCAGTTCAGATCCCTCAGCCTGGTAGCACAGATCCTTCATGAAATCATTGGCACACACTTCCTAGCTTCCACAACTGACCTTAGGGCCCTTCCAGCACAGATAAATGAAACAGGACTGCATGAGACGTTGTGGGCTCTAAGCCTCCAATTGGACTAGTGGGAGGCATTGTTATGAGCTCTAGGTTTTCAGCTGGACTCATGCAAGATACTAGGATCCAGGCCCTCAGCTGGATTCTTTGGTCTTCAGTGTGTTGACAGACTTCCTACACTCCTTGTATATTATTCTTTGGATGATTCATCATAAAATAACATTATAAAATGTGTCCTGTATTATATTGTTCCTCGCAAAAACCCCAAACCACGACGAATTGGTACCAAGAGTGGGGTTGGAACCCACATGGGCACCAGCTTGGTCTCCAGCTTCAGCCACTCCCCACACCTGGCTGTCATCCCACAGTGGGTGGGCTGATTCTGTCATGAGCCCCAGGCTCTCTGCACTTACCATGCATTCCTTTCACCCATTCCCTCTTTCCCTTCTGTACTTTCCTTTCCTACCAATCTAGAATCCACGGGGCTGTGGTACTATTGCCAACATCCTAGAGCTTTTCAAATTTGCTCTTCCAAAAGGCCAACCCTCTACCTTTTGGATTCCTGCCCCAAGGCTTCTCCAGAGTTTACCTCTGTCTTGCAGCTCTGGTAACTGAGGTCAAGTGAAGAAGACACCCACAGACACCATGAACGGAGCTTGCCCTCATCTCTTTTACAACATTCCCTGCTTTTTCCAGTGCTGGACAGAAGTGATCCTACATCCCTCTGTGCAACCATTACTCCCCTTGAACACACTTGTGTTGATACACCTAGAAATCTGTATCTATGCCTCCGTTGCTGGCTCTCAGAGGGAGGGACTGGGTTTCATCCATTTGTGTCCCCTATCTCCAGCACAGTAAGCCTGGCTCACGAATAGCCTCGAAAATGTACTTGTAATTACAGAATGTGCACTTTCAGTATACTGGGCCACCCAGGAGCACACGAGACTCACTCAGCTCAGCAAGCCGTGAAATGACAGGAGCCTTCCTGCAACCTCGCTCTCCCCCTACTGCTTCCCCTAGAGAGATGAAAATCCAAAATTACATAAATATAAATCAAAAGGTAACTCCAGTCTTTACCAAAGGATCTTCTGCAGTATTTCTTTAAATATCCAGTTCCCTGGGTGCATTTGAAATAAGGCCAAGTTTGCAAAATGTACATACTGTGGGGGAGGGGTGGGCTTCATGATGGCAGGGCATCATAGAAAGGGAGATGGGGATGCGCGAGGTTTCTCTGAGACCATTTCGACCTCCCAGCCTCTGGAGGGGAGAACCCTATGGCAGAGGTAGGGTTGGGTTCAGCCTGTTGAGGATGCCCAGAATAGAACTAAGCAAGGAAAGTATCCTGGAGGGTGAGGTTTGAGCCATCTTCTACAAAGGACAGAAGAATGAGATGGGGAAGAGAGTGACCTGTGATTGCTCTCCAACCTATGGCTCTCCCAAAGAAAGGGACAAAAGCCAGAGTTGTGGACATAGAAGAAATATCTCCAGCTTCTTCTCCCAGAATCATCTACCCAGCTGGGCCCTGCCAAAAGCACTGGAAGCCCCTGAGGAAGAAGTAGGACCTTGACTCCTAGAAGCGTAACAGCCAGAGCCCAGGCTGCATCTCCCCAAGGCCAGTGGCTTCATGTAGGCAGGTGTGCTGTGACAGGGCCTCTGTAAGGGTCACACCTGCTGGGATACACTTTCCAAATCATGGTACTTGGTCTAGGGAGCCTGGTGTCTATGGACTACGAGGACAGAAACTTCTGAGTTAGTAGTGTCTAGGACGCTGGAAAAATGACTATTACTCAACTCCTGTGTCTGTGCCCTGGAATTTTGCTGCCCTCCTAAGGGCATCTCGCTGGGCTCGCAAAGTACATTTAGAGCCTGGAAATTTCCTAAGTTTTATCCATGCAATTGTTTGTGCTAATTATGCAATTAACATGAAAAAATATAGTTGCATAATCAGACCATGCAATCAGATAATGATTGTTATTGTTGGGGTCATTTGGAATGAGTGGGTTTCATGATTTGGAGGAAAAAAAAACAAATCCATGTTGGGTAGTAGTGGGCTCAAGTCCCTCTTGAAAACCACTGCAAACTCGTCTGGTGTCACCAGAACACCAGCACAATATCTGGCCAGGAAGACGAGTGGAGATGGGAGAAAGCTTTGGGATAGACTCAAGAGCTTCTAAGTGCCCACAGCCCTTCACGGTGCTCCTAAATGGGCTGGCTGGACCTCGTTCACTGAGGATGTGAGCTCCATGGTGTGGAAGCTAATGGTGGAGCTGCTGGCCCTTGAGCTGGCTCTGTTTGCTGCTCTGTTGGATACAAGTGTGACCATTGCCTAGCCTCCCTCTCACAGCCGCCCTGAGGGCCCAAAGCAGCCCATAGCCCCAGGACCTACCACATTGTCTGACATTAAATTTGCAAACAATGGAAACTCTCCCTGTCAGCCATCCATCCATCCTGGACGATTCTACTGGGCCTAGAAACAGGCCCAAAGATGTCTCCTTGTAGGTCTTCTTCTTCCCCAAATAGGCAAAGTAGCCTTCTGCAGGGGGGCCTTGTCAGAGAGAGGAAGGTAGAGTAGAAAATATTCACTGACAGTGAGGGACACTCTGGGCAGCAGGGAGGTCACAGCAACTCCCTGGGGCTGTACAAAAGGCTCATCAGGAAAGTAAGTTATGACTTCCGCCCACCTCACTCCCTGGAAGTTATCAGGTTACTGCACTTTGATGATGTCAGGCCAGCTTGCAGGGGGCTCCTGGGGCAGGGCAATAACTGGGAGGCAAGAGCAAGATCTAGACACAGCGGGGCACAGAGACAATCAGGGCATAAGAAAGCCAGTGCAGGGAATGCTCAGGCAGGAGACCTCAGAGGAAAGATATGGGAAGGGGGAGCAGAGAAAAGGTACAGGGCAGGAATGGCCCTCCGCCCTCTGCTGCTACCGAAGTCTGGAAAAGTCTCATGGAGGGGCCAGGGAGATAGCTCGGCAGTCTAAGCACCTGCCTGGCAAGCACAAGGACTGCGGTTTGATCCCCAGTACTGCATGCTGTGCTGGTTCCACATAGTGAGACCCCGTATCAAATAAATTAAAAAAAAAAAAGAAGTCTCATGGAAAAGCCTGGACAGGGTAAGTGGCACCCCTCGGGCGCTCTTTATCACACAGGTGAGAGCCTCCAGGCATTTCTGGCACTCCCTGCTGCTTCCACCAGTCCCAAACCCATGGTGCTGCACCTGTCACTCGCCAGGCCCTGAAGAAACATCATGATGACAAGATCTCAGAAAACTGAGCTGCCCTCTGGCCTACCTTGTGCCATCCTTGGTGGGGCCACAGGAGCCCAGGGGATGCTGATTATAATCCCAGAGCAGCTAGCTAGCTATTATTTATTTATTTATCTGATACAGGATCCCACTACGCGGCTCAGACTCATAGTGATCCTCCTGTCTCAGCATCCCTAGCTCTAGGATTGTAGGTGTGCGCCACCATTCCCAGTTTTGGTGGCCAGTGTGGTGCCCCGCCTGGGTTCTGGGGCCAGCACAGCATGCGGTACCACACCAGGGATTGATCTCAGGTCCTGTACTTGCCAGGCAGGCACTTAGACCACTGAGCTATCTCCTCAGCCCCCAGCCCCCAGCCCCCAGGCCCCCACCAGTTATTGATGGCTTAGGCCCCATAGCATTTGCCCAAGTCTTGGTCTTGTACCAGACAGCCTAACTCCTATCCTGCGCTGCTATCCTGGAGCCTTGGAGAAGTCAGGCATTGGCTGGGGCAGTTGGGAAGCCAGGTTCCTGATCTGAGCAGGACTCGTGCCTTCTGGAAAACCTCATGGGCCTGAAACCTGCTGTGACCACTAGATGTCACTGGCGACTTCCTTGGCCAGCTTTAGCCGACAAACAAGCAAGCTTTCAGCTTGGACACATGAGACTGGACCCCAGGTTCAGAGCTTCTTAGGGACACAAGTCCCCTCCTCCTACAGACTTGCAGTCATTCGCCTGTGTAGCCTATCTAGTCACATTTGGGACACAAACATCAGGGCCCACCCAGAACAGGGCACTGGGTCAGGTGCCAGTAAGCCTAGTCCCTGGGGGAAGGAGGCACATATAACTGTCACCTTAGCACTATACTTAAACTTTACCATGGAGGAGAAAGAACTCTAGATTCCAACAGAGGTGGGGCC